CCTTCAATTCGATTTTTCTCAGGAACTACAGCAACTAGTAGGCTGCAAATTTTTGGCAGTAATTCTGAGCGAATAAGCTATATAATCACCTACTTGCGGGGAATACAGAAGTGGTACAGGCAAAGTTTAAAAATTGAGCGCATTATTTTTTTCTTGGTTTCTAGCCATCAGAAAAATGCAGCAAGTGCATTTATAAATATCCGATGAGGAGAGTGTATACATGAAAAAATAGGAAATTTGCAGAGCTGTTTTGAACTGAGATATGATGATTTTCGTTTTTTCGGAAATTCGGGAAAATTTTTTATTTTGGCTTGGAGCATGTTGCGGATTGGACTTGGCGCGAACTTTTGAAAGCCATCTTGTAGAGCTTACTTTGATCTGTCGAATGGTACCCTGCATAATCAGGAGTTCAAGAAGAACTGATTTATGTCGTTGAAAAGTCAGGTATGAAAAGACTTATGGGACAACCTAATAGAAAGTTCAATACACAAATAAAATAACTTCTAATTACAAAATAAACTCTTAACTTCAAAAGTAGCAGTCTGAAGATTTTCGGTTCTGAAGATAAATTTGCCAGGCTTCTCTCGTGGATTTTTACCACCCCCCCCCCCCCCCTCCGCCCACATTTCATACGCCTGCCTCTTAGTTTAATCTTTAAAGGCACCGTCCACCCAAAATGGAGGTTGGCGAGATTATGATGGCATACTAGTGTGGGCCCCCATACTAGACAAACCACCAAGCTTCGCCGCAAAAGACTGCTTCTGAAGCGAGAAATCCACTCCGGAAGTAACAAAAGTGGGCGGGGCGCCCCCCGTCGCCCCGCCCACTTGCATGCTTTATCTCGCCTGCACTTGTTGCAGAGGGTTCTCGAAACAGGGATTTTTGGGGGTTTCGCGAATTTTCGACTCCATATTCGGAATCAGGGCTTTCAGAAGGCCTGAAGGCGACAAAAACATTGAATTCGAGTTGTGTGGACCGCCGGGGGCGCCCCGCCCACTTTGTTACTTCCGGAGCGGATTTCTCGCTTCAGAAGCAGTCTTTTGCGGCGAAGCTTGGAGGTTTGTCGAGTATGAGGGCCCACATTAGTATGCCATCATAATCTCGCCAACCTCCATTTTGGGTGGACGGTGCCTTTAAAGGCAGTGGATCGGCAGAATGAGTCCCGTGGCAAAACAAGGTCAGGGTAGGAGCCCCCATATGGAACCTATCGGTCAAAGTCCGATCTTTTTCTGCCAATTCTAACCCCCGAAATTTCAACGCGAAAGCAGCGCTCATCTACTCTCCTCTCCGACCCCGCCCACCCCACGGACGAGTGAACCCGAAGCCGGCAATGGCGAAGACGCAGAGTCGTTGCGGGACCCTTATGCTTATAGCATTCGGCATGCGCGCTCTGACCGTGCTCCGTGGGGTGGGCGAGGTCGGGGAGGAGAGGAGATGAGCGCTGCTTTCGCGTTGAAATTTCGGGGGTTAGAATTGGCAGAGAAATATCGGACTTTGGCTGATAGGTTCCATATGGGGGCTCCTACCCTGTGACCTTGTTTTGCCACGAGACTCATTCCGCCGATCCACTGTCTTCAAAAGTAGGATATGAACCACATGATACTGTAAAAAAAATCTGAATCGGCATTGAATATGTTCCTCTTTACCTGATTGAACTCATTAACCTGTGTATTTAGGCCCTCGCAAAGAGCAAATAAGCAGAGGATTTGAGATCAAAACTTTATTTCTAATAATCACAAAACACTAACGGCTATACTATCAGGTTATAAAGAAAGTTCTGGGGCACTTTTGGAATTTTCATTCTCTGAGGCATTTCTTTTGCCGCTCGTTCGGACTTTGACAACAAGTTTCTACTGGTCAGTAGAGGTAAGCATAAACGTTTCAAATTGCTTTTAATTTTGAAGCAGGTTTTTTCGCGTCGACCTTTTCCCCTTCTGCGCATGCTGGTGATCGCAATGAGGCGCTGACGAACCAACAAGACAGACATTTGTTGCACATGAACTTGTCTGCAATGAAATGTAGTGTCTGCAATGTATCATCAATAAAGGTTCAATCTGCTCGAAGTTACAACAATTTGATAAAAATTTTCGCAAGTGCCCCGGAATTTTCTTTTTTACGATCTAATGCACAGGTACATAAATTTTCTTCTTCACGATCTAATACACAGGTATTTACACAAAAGTGGCAACCCATTTTGTAATATGGTACTTATCTTCTTTTTCATGAGTGAACGCGCAATACACTGAAGCCGTGTAGGCGGCGTCTCCTTCACGCGAATTTCCATTTGATACTCTAAGCGGTACACAAGCAAAGAAGGGTTCGGTATGGATCATCTGGAAAATGGTTAAATTCCTCGAATAACGATATCACCACACAAAAGAATCGAGCAGTTTTGTCTTTAAGATTCGTTTTTGTTGTTTTCGAGATTCAGTGAGGAGTGCAGAGCAAGTGGCTGATTTCGAATGAAAGCATATGCCTAAGTGAGTAAGCGCTCAACTCAGAGCACAAGGGTCAGCTGTTCTAAGCGGCAGGAACCCAAACGCTTCAGCAATGTAAGTGTTCAACCAATGTGTTCAAGCTCGTTTCGCAACAATAAGTGATACGCATTTAGTGCGAGACTAGACTATATCTGCTTACATTGGCACACATCTAACAAAACTCTGTCTAAGGTTGAAGAGTAGCATACCTTTGATAGTTTAGAGACAGGGCATTAAAAGTGAAGGTTGTTTGAACATCTGCCCTCATAAAAAGTGAAGGTTGTTTATAGAAGATCAGGGAGGAAAAAAGACGCAAAACAGATACAAAAAGCGACAAAAACTGCTGAAAACCGAGTAAAAACGATGAGTTTCGAAATCTTTCATTTGGCAGCTTTAAAAGCAGATTTTCTCTCCAGGACCAGCAATTCGCAACACGGGGAAGAACGAGCAAGAGACAATTTCTTCTTGTGATTGTTCACAAAACCATGTTTCGGAAGTTGCAGTTACCGAGAATCAGATAAACAAGAAAGAAATTATTTAGGAAAACGCAATTTCATTTTTACTAAGTCGAAATGCACGTCAAAGCCATTTAGTTTTTGATGCTTCCTTCAAATTATTACCCCCGCATTGACGTTCCTGTTTCCTGGGACGTTGTCTGGATTTTCGTGCTTATTGTACTGAGTAAGAAACGCCCAAGCTGGAAAAAAATCGCTGCGAAAGCAGTGAAACAGAACAAGGTAAAGAAAAACGCACTTTTTATGGTTTTTCACGAAAAATTCCGTTATAATCGAAGAGATAAGAGCTAGACGATTATCTGCATTATGAACAGAAGCAAGAATTTAGAATGCAAGAGAAAACCGCATCAAAAGAGTTAAACTAGAAGAAAAAAAAGAGATTATCGAAAACAAGGTTTTTGCCGTATTTCTCGATCAAATCAAAAAGTGTTGGGAAGTTGTTAGCATGAAAGTAGAGATCAAGAGCTTCAAAATGATATATAGCTTGTCGAAATGGGTTCGAAACAGCGAAGAAAAGGGTACCAGAGCCAAATGCCCCGCGCCCCGCGTTTGGGGTAGCGAGGTAGCGCGCAGCGTGCGGAGACGCAGACGAGCAGCGGAGGCAAAGCAGAGCCGACAAGGCATTTGTCTCTGGTCGTAAATCTCCGCGGGGTCGGGTCTGAACGAAAACCTGCGATATTATTAGGTCGGTGCAAAAGTTTTGTCAGTTTTTTCAATTCATTGGCAAACACGCTAGAATGAAGATAAACAAACACTTCGAAATGTATCCAATGCAGAATTTCTTCCTCTTTCCTGCTGCTAAACTCCAATTGTGTTTCGCTGTGAGAGTGACGAGAAATTTGCTGGAAATTACAACCGCTCGTTTTTACCATGTCCAAATTTCGCTAATTTTCAAAATTGTTATATGAGACTTTTGGAGAAGCCCTAATAACCAGCGGATAGGGCAGACCTTTTGCCAACAGAAGCAATTTTTTGTAGCCCCACGGGTTGTCTTTCAGAATTTCTACAATTACACTTGTCTTTTTTGCCGAGGCAGGCGAAATTTGTGAGGAAAGTTGCAGCGTTTCCCAATTTCAGGAGTGTGCACTGACGTAACCTATGTTTCAAAATCTTTATAATTTAGAGCAAAAACCGCTTACTTACTTTGTAATGGTAGCGGTAGTAATAATCGAGTGTTGAAACCTCGGTATTCTGTAGGATTTGCAGTGTTTGGTGCAATAGCAGGTTATGCGATTTTTCCATAATACAATACTTTTAGAAAATTATTCAGCAAAAATCTGAAAAAGCAGTTGAAAAAAGGAAAAAATTGCACAAGTTGGCAAAAGGTTTGCCCTATCTGGTGGTTATTGAGGCTCCTCCGAAAACCTCATACAAAAATTTTGGAAATTAGTGAAACTCGGACATGGTAAAAACGAATGCTTGCGATCTCCAGCGAATATCTCATCACTCTCCCATCGGAACACAGTGGTAGTTTAGCATCTGGAAAGAGGAAGAAATTCTGCATTAGATACATTTCGAAATGTTTGTTTATCTTCATTCTAGCGTGTTTGCCGATGGGTTGAAAAAACTGACAAAACTTTTGCACCGATCTAATATATATCATTCTGACCTTCATGACACGACGAGGAGAACTGACAACGTCCCAGGCTTTGAATATCACCCACTAATGAGATAGACCAGCATTTTCGTGCACGACTTTGCACATTTAAGCGCAGTTTCTCGCTTTTATTCAACTCCAGCTGCTTTCCCAAATTTCTGAAACTCAATTTTGATCAAGTAAGAGGGTACTGAGAAACGTTGTTTCGAATTTTGAGAAAATCTTCACAGAAAATTTCTTTTCAGCGTAAAAAAGGCTTTGAAAAACCATTCATTTCTCGGTTTCGCTGAGATATTTTTCAAATTTTCTTCCCCATATTTGGTTCATTCACATTCGTTCCGATATAGTCAGGATTATAACATACGGGGCGAAGCCCCGGATGACTTCTTGATGTTTGACTGTGAAGCTGTTTTAAATTTTGCTTACGTCGCAAGTTGTCATTCGTGAAGGGGGTCTCAGATTGTCCGCATCGATTTGCTTGCGCATTTTACCTGCGATCTCTTTCAGTTTATCAAATTCTTGGTCGCACCTACAAGTCAACATTTAGCAAAGCGAGATCGGAGCAAGTGTATATGAATAGTATAACTTACGGATTATCAGATATTTTAAATATGCGATATTTGCTTGAATCAGGTGCCCATTTGCCCGTGCCATATAAAAAAACGGTACTCTCCATCCAATCTTGGTATTCCTTGAATAAGATTCTTTAGAAAGAACAAAGAAAACGACCATTAAAAAACAGAATTTGTGTTCGCTGAGCTTTATATGCGGTCTTTATTGAGTGGTCAAGTACCGCAAACTAGTTGTATGAAGAGCCTCGATAATTTTTTCAGGCAGTCTGTTATAGTTTTTAACAAAAAATCAAACTATAGTTGGACTTACCAATTTCCGTTTATAAACGCAACCCTCTTCGAGTTTCTCCTTGAGAGCTTTTACCCAATCAGTATATTTTATGCGGCAAAATTTGGGATCTCCTGAATCCAAGAAGGTGGAGCATACAAGCAGCAGCTGAAAAATCGTCAGTCATTACAAACTGAAGCTCAAAAAAATGCAACTTACTATAAGAATACAAAGAAGCATTTCTGATTTTGTGCTCACATACCACAATGACTTTTATACTGACAAATTTCAACAAGCTTTTCAGGCCTTTAGAGAGGTACCATACTGCTCTATTTTGGCATCATGCGTACGAAGAGTGTACTTTTTTGTTACGCATAACCACAACACAGGGTGTACACTTCGATTTAATGGGAAAGGAAAGACAACGAACCTTGCATTTCGGAAATCCCTGATAATCCGTAAGTTACATATGATGAGATTTTACAAAATGTAATCAGATTCTTGATAACCTAAGAAAGTGGCAATGTTCGCATATATTTGTCGAATGAATTTTGGGAAGCTTCCTAATTTCTGGTTTAGCGCGCGTAAATTACTTTTTGTATATTTTCACAATCCACTCCAAAATTAGATAATTCTGTGGAGATTCCATTACTACATAAAACAAGACATATGCAAAATTACAACTTATATAAATCATTTTCCAAATTACGCGACTTTAATCTGCTGCAGCATTCCTTGCTGTAAGTCTGCACTTACCTGATTCGATGAGATGAAGTGGCAATAGCTTTACTAGTCATGCAAAATCGATTGTTTTAACGCATGGCGAAAACGCAGCGAAATAAGAAAGACTACCAGCTTCAGTGTAAAAAATTGAACGATATTTGGATGAGCGTGGGCAGATTCGCAGGTCTCGATGAGCGACTGATAAGTAGATTGAAGTCACAGAATCCAAATTGTCCAGTTTTTTACCACTTGATAAAAACGCATAAAATTGAGTCACACGAAATGCGCGCCATGTCACCGGAGCTTTACAAGATACGGCCCATATTTAGCTGCGTTGGAGGACCTACGGATCGCATATCGTGGTTTATCTGCAAGATCGTGAACCAGCTTCTGCCAAAGGTGCCCGCTCATTTATCCAATACTCATCAATTTCTAGAGCAGCTGCGTAACACGAAGGTTGGACATAGTGTCATTATGGAGTCCTTCGATGTGACTTCTTTATACACTAATGTCCATAACGATGACGAATTACAAGCTCTCTCTGAAATGTTGGATAAATATATAACAGCCATAAACACCTTTGGTCTGAACAAAACGCAAATACTGGCCCTCACTCGAGCATGCTCAGGTTGTAACATCTTTAAGTGGTCTGGGAGATATCCCAGATACGAGGACTGGCTATGGGTCAACGCCTAGCACCTGTTCTCGCAATATGTTATATGAGTAAAATCGAGCAGCCAGTACTTGCGCGTACTGTCGATATATCGACGACTGTTGTGTAATAACATCGACTCAAGCCGAAATGGATGAGTACTTTGCGATTTTAACCAACAGTCCCAGTACATACGGTTCACTAGAGAAACACCACGTAATGGATGGCTCCCTTATTTGAACACACAGATCAGATTGTCTGATGGTGTACTCCATGCTAAATGGTATCGTAAGGAAGCATCCAAAAACATCTTGATCCACGCAAAGTCAGCTCACCCTGCAGCAACAAAACGAGCGGTCATCAGCAACATGATGAAAACTGCTACAGCGGTATGCACAGGCCACGAAGAGCAGCTCGAATCACGAAAGCTGGCATTACAAATTGCGCAGAGTAACGGATATGTACCAACTGAAAACAGATGCGGAACGTTTGCACGTTCCGATACCTCTATCCGTAAACAGCGTAACAATAAGGTTCCACTTTGCATCCCTTTTATACCAAATAAGGTTAGCGCGATAATTAGACGATGCATTCACCGAGCTGAACTGCAGAATGATGTGATATTGGTTGAAGTACCGAAAGATAACATTAAGAAGCAGCTAGTTCGGAATAGACTCTACGATTACGAATGCATAGTAGATGAATGCATCGTATGCCCGTACGGCAATGTTGGGGATTGTGCAAAGGCAGGTGTGATATACCAGTTGGAATGTTTGAGCTGCCAAGGCTGCTACATAGGAGAGACGGGTAGAGCGGTGGGTGTAAGATTAAAGGAACATTTGGCTAGCAAAAGACGTGGGATATTAACAACACCGTTGGGAAGACACAAAGCTGAGGCACATGGTGAAAATGACTTTAAAGTCAAATGTACCATTCTGTCTTACGAGACTGAGATTTGCGCAAGAAAGATCCTTGAGGCAGCATGGATACTTACGAGGAATCCTAGAATGAATGCTAAGAATGAATGCGTGTCAATTAACAGTAATCTCTTGCCGTTCATACCGCTATGCAATCTGAACAGCCGCACATAAATACCCTTGACTCACTGGGTGACACTCAGTGACGTCCGCTATTGTCCCATTGTGCGGACTTACTGGTATGCGGTGGAGTTAAGGTTAGCTCGTTTCACAACTTTGATGGTTTCCCGCTGGCTGCTATCCTCCGATGAGGTCTAGACTAGCAATTGTGGAGGAGGCTCTTGGCGGCGTACTGATCAGATCCAAAAACCTATAATCTACGTTCAGATCTCTTGAAAAAGACGAGCCCGTCGAAACGTCGGTCGAATAAACATCCACCAAGAAACCTGGATTCGACAAAACAATCGATTACTGACACATAAGAAAAACACACTCCTTTTCCGGTCCTAATTGCTATCCTCGTTTTGCAAACATATCGTCACCAAAAAATTCGCAAAATGCTGGATGATGGATAAACATGGCTAGAACACCACTGCAGCAGCGAATGCATATTTTGCAGGACTCAGGTACCATTTCGCAGATCATGGTTCACTTTAAGGCCCTTTCAAAAAATTGGATCTTATGCCCATCCTTGTCGAAGTTATGTAAACTTCGTCGTGCACAACTCTACAGTATCCTCTGCGCTACTCTAACTTGAAGTTATTCGAGACTTTAGTGCACTACCTTCTTATACAAAGCGTGTCAAAAAAGTGAACACTGTTTGATCGTAACTAACTCCGTTGCTTTCATGTCTTTCGCCGAGCTTGAGGCACCACTCTGTAAAGCGAAGTACAACTTAGATTTATAGTATGGAGCTAATCACCGATCGCTCTTTGTTACTGTAGGATTACGATATGAATCACCGATTGCTCTTCGTTAATATAGGATTGCGGTATGAACTTTAGCATGTGGATCCATTGTGAAGTATGTCATTTGACAAAATTTTCTTAAAAAACTCTGAAAAATTATGTACTAGTGTTTTCGCGCTCGCTGATTCCACTACACAACACTTTTCGAGTCTTTTTAGTTTTTTGGCGATGTAATCCATTATTGACAAATGCTGGAAATTCAGTTGTCAAGGTTTACCTGGGATAACCTTGGAAAGAAACATCACAGTACAATGGACATTTCAAATTCAGAATCAGCGGCTTTTATAACCATAGTATGAGAGTTTTCGGCTTGTTTGGTTTTGTTCCGAGGTAGAATGTTCTCCAATGACCTAAAACCCTTGTCGAAGTTCTTACCGTAATTCCACAGTAGTGAGGAGCATTCGATGATTCGCTCCACACTGTAGATCTGTGTTAAACCTCGCTCTATAGATTGGTGCTTCAAGTTCGGCAAAAGATAAGGAAGCAAGGGAGTTATTAACGATCAAATAGTGTTCACCTTTTTCGGAACATCCTGTATTCATATGATATGTTAGCATCGGCATCTTTCCAGGAGACAGTTTATTTTACGAAAAGAAAACTCCGCTGTAAACATTGTGTTTATTCTCTAAACTTCGGAGTCTGCTCAATACTGTAAACTTTGACGGCATCAGCAAATATGTTGTTCAAAAGATCAAACGCTTTTGTATAGCCTTGGATCTAGTTTGGATCTTTGTAGGACACCTTGTTGTAACTGTTGTGACTTGGAAATGATTTGCTTCATGGACAAGTAAACTTTATCCTTAGCCTGTATAAGCTATCAATCAAATACAAGTACTGGTTACAATAATTTCATGCTTCTCTAATCGCTCAGTTTGTTGCACATTCTTTGCCAATACGGTATCGATGTGTTTGGGGTTGCTTACCATTTCCTAAGTGCACAGTAGTGCAAATAATCAATCTAATAATAAAACCTTTCGATTAAGAAGTGAATAATTTTGCTTTGACAGTGTGTTCATCGGTCAGGGACCCAGGTGTTTTGATTGATTCCCAATTGAAATTATTGAACGCATTGATTATGCCGTGCAGAAAGCGTTCGCTGTTTGCTATTTTTTGAAACATTCATACATGTGACGAAAACACTCTCATTAGGCTGCATAATTCTTGGGGTGAGTGACTTTTCATACGATGAGCAATTCCGAGGTGAGAGGTGTGAACACTTACGGCTGAGTCAAGTCTCGCACCTCAGCGTCTAGCATACTGTAGGAGGGGGGGGGGGGGGAGGGGGACTTTTCATAGGAATGCTCTCATATCATCTTTTGGCAAAGATCCAGTGAAATGGCACCATGCCAGGTTTGGGCCTCTGGCTCGATTCCAAAAAAAAATAAAACATCTAGATTACCTTTTGCAATACCGCGAATTTGGATAAGGTGTTTTGCTGTGAGAAATAACATTATGATCGTTCTACTCACGAGTTTTCAGTATTTGAGTCGACATAAATTCGGTTTTTCTTTTGCAAACGTGAACTGATTTGAGTATTATCACTTGCCTCTCCGACCTTTCAGCATGACCTGGAAGTGCTGCCGTTCCCTTAGGGGATATTGGGTGTATGTCAAGAGTCGCGATTTTTATTGCCAGATGAACACCAAAAGCATATAATAAGTGTTTTATGACTTTCTGAAAGTATTAAAATTTTACAGGGAGATGTACTAAAAGATTGCATTTTCAATCTTAACACCTTGTAATCGGTTCGCTTTCGCCTGACGATTATTACTATGATACGCTATCTCAAAGCTCTTCGAATTTTTCATCGTTTCGTACACCCCCTCCCCCCACCACCGCCCGGTGAGATTTATATAAAGGGCCGGGTATACCTCACGCGATTTCAGTCGCGACGCGATTTGGCAATTCGCCAAAATTCTTCAGATTCAACGCTAGCGAACCGCACATGCGTAGTGTGTATAACTTACGCGGATTGATAAA